ATAACTATAGTTTATAAATTATTTCATTTTTTTCATCTCATTATTTTTTTTGAGAACAACCAACTTTCATTCATTCAAAAGAGACGTAAGAAAATCAGAGGGGACAAAATCTCATTATTTTTATGATTCACATTCATTATTATTTTCTCTTCAACTTTTTAATATGAATAATAACATTTTTTGTATATTAATCTACATGATAAAATAGGAAAACATCAATATTTAAAACTATTCTAAAAATTATGGATGAAATAGTTACATAGAGTGTTTTTAATCTAAATTTATACTCCATAAGGTAAACATCAATATTTTAATCTAAAATATAAAAATGGAATCGGGTGGGGAGTACTACATTATGAAAGCCAAGAGAGAACTGCATTTTGAAAAAGAAAAATGACCCAAAAAGTGTAAAAAAGAAACTCTACTAACAAATAATATCACCAGTATTTAAAATACAACTAATAAAAAAGTTATACTTTCAATACATTCAGATTTTGGCATGCAGGAATTAGGGATTTAAGATGAAGCCCCTTATATATATCCTAAACGAATAGAGAAAAATAAAATAAAGAGGGAAATAGAAAACGAGCGGAGAAAAAAGAGCTCTTGCCTTTGTCTTTATTACTCAATTCTTTCTCATTTTTATTTATTTCAAAAGTTATTTTTTTCATTTTTCTAATTTTTATAAAAAAAATTGAAAGTCGAAATACTTTAGAAAAAATGACTAAAGTTGGAGTAAAACATAAAAAAATATAAAAAAAGTTTATGTCTTTATTCCAAAAGTAGGGTTAATTACAATCAAATTAAAATGCCAATCATTAAAGAAAAAATAGGTTTGATTACATTATGTGACATGTATGATATTTAAAATAAAATCTTGTAATATATAAAATATAATTAAAAATATATTATTTTATAATAAATACAGCATAGCCATTATAGCTCTTAAGTATTTAACATTTTGATATTTATACTAATTTTATATTCTAATTAATTTTTTTTCAAAAGTAGTTTTTTTATGTATTAAAAATAACAATAATTTTTTATCTTAAAGGCATTCATTAAGATAACGTGATGACACCAACAACAACAACAATAATAATTTATAACAACAAGAATTAGAGCGAGAATTTTAAAAAAACACACAAAATTTCTTTTAAAAGTTTTTTTTATACTTTCCAATTTTTTCTAGTTTTTTTAGATTCTTTTAATTTTTTTTAATTCTTTCCAGTTTCTTCCAATTTCTTCAAGTTTCTTCCAGTTTCTTCCATTCCTAAAGAACAGGCTCTAAATAATGATTTTTTTAAAAAGTTGGTTCAAGTTCTCTATTATGTGCAAATTATACTTTTATTTGAGTTTTAGTTTTTGTATATGAACATAAAAGTATTCACAAAGATTCGAAATACTCCTTTGTTGTAGTTTTTTAGTTTGTGAAATATAAACTAAGTTTTGATACACATCTCTTGCATTAAAATATTCATTTTTTTAATTTTTTAGTTTTTTTTTATTTAAATTCACTTTCAATTTTCAAAAATAAATGGACATTAATTTTAAGGTGTAAAGAAGGTATGTTTATTCATCAGGATTTGTACCGAATCCGATACCGAACCGCATCCTAAACCACTCGGAATTGGTATTTTGGGATCCGGATCGGTACAGAGTAAAATCTCATACCAAACTGAAATATTTGGTACAGTATCGGTACAAGCTAAATATTGTACCATACCGTACCATGTTCACCCATAACTCCAGCCTTATAGACATTTGATACTGTTTTGTGTCTGTAACGTCTGTAAGACTGAAGTTAAACCTCAGGGTTCAAATATTGGGGTCAATCAAGCATAACCCTTTTCAAAATATACTTCGGCATTAGCAAAAACTTACCCCGATCCCTCCATCTCAAAATTTAGTTTCAGTTTGATTTTCGATATTCGATTGGAGTTATTTCAAATCAATATAAGTAAAACTTGATGTAGAATTAAAAAATAAAAATTACTCCGTATGTATTAAAAACAGCATTAAAGTTCTACAAAATAAATGGTGATAAGGTTATTTTATTTTATTAAACGATCGATTGAAATGTATAAAGAAAATAGAATTATTTTGACCTTAAAAAACTAGAAATTTTATTTTGGGGCGAAGAGAGTGTTAAAAATAATACACTAAAAGTATTTTTTATACCAATAATTTGGTAAAATTTAAGGTTTTGATCCATTGTTTCTTTTTATAAATATTTATTAGTCAAATGTTCGGCATGCAAAGAGAATCACAATAGAGTTGAAAAGGAATGGATGGAAAATTTAGTTTCTACTCCCTTCGTCCAAAAATTTATTTCATAATACGGTGTATAAAAAGTCATGCCATACCTTGTACGTTTTGAAAAATATTTTTAGTACTTTTTAATACAAATTTTGTTCTTTAATTTTCACACATACAATTAAATAAATTGAATTGAAAAAATAAATTCGGTCAAACCTCGTAAACTCGAATATATAGTTTAATTCCGAACGGAAAGAGTAACTAAACTTTTTTTTGTATCTATTTACAAATTTCACCGATGAGTTCACTACTAGAATTTCGCGTAGAAACTACGGATATTTAGAGAGGGGCTATTCCCCCTCAATTTAGCGGCAGAATAGCCACGTACTATTCTCCCTCTATGTCAAATTTTAATTAGCGACGAAGTTTTTCGCCTCAATTTTTCTTACTGTCTTCTCCTCTTTCTCGGTTTTCCCTTTCTTTTTTATTATTCTTTTCTCCCTTTCTTCTCTTTCTCCGTTCTCCCTTCTCTCAGCTCTCTGTCTTATCATTTTCGGATTTTCCCTTTCTTGTCTTTCTTCTTTCTCCCTTTCTTTTCTATCTTCTCATCGCTTCTCCAGATGTTGCAATTCCATTGATGCAATAATTAGAGGTGGATCTGACGAAATCAATGGCGGATTTACATGATGGTTTCTATGGATTCAACGGAAGATTGACCGAGATTGAAGGTGAATCTAAAGTAATGGTGCAGATAGGTTCGGCGGATCTACATGATGATTTCTGTAGATCTATATTTTTTGTGAAAGTTTGTTCCTAGATCTGTTTGGCAATGAGTCCGGTTATGGTAGAGATGAGATAGTGAGTGTTGCGGGACATAGGATTAGGAGTATTTTTGAAATTCCATAGCATCTTTTACACAATTTTAAAAATGAGCTCCGGTCAAAGTGGAAAGATCAATATAGGACGACGGGCATAATATATTAAATTTGAAATATAATTTTTAGACATGTATATTTGTACTTTAAGTTTTATTTTATATAAATATGTTTATCCCATCAACATAAAGCATAGTACTTACATAGTTTTTTTTAAAAGAATTTACAAATAAGTGATAACAAAAAAATCTCATGTGTATAAAACATACATATTAAAATTTATTTTTTCATTGATTCTATCCAACTTCCATCTCACATAATAATATTCATGTTGCATAATTGTTATAAACCATTAAAGTATAGAAAAAAACTAAATAATTAAAAATAATTTTTTTTAGTTTTTTACGATTATTTTTTTGGAGAACGAAAAATTAAGAATTTTACATATGAAGGACTAGACCAGACTTGGACCGGTCGTAATGGGACTATCCGGTCCCCCAAAGGTCCCTATTTTTTAACGAAGACCAAACTAGTCCGAATTGATTATTAAAAAAGACTGACCGATTCCGTCCTAAATAATACCGGTCATTTCAAGAGGCCGATCCGCTCTGACTAGTCTAGTCATTTTGCTTATCTCTACCCCTTGCAATCTGTTTGATGAAGATCATAATCACCTCTTCTATCATACTCTGAGCTCTATTCCTATTTAACTGTTCATTTCGCTTTGCGTGTCAAACGTTTGAATAACTATATACTCCCTCCGTTCTTAAAAACACTTCTTCTTTCATTTTTTTTACTTCTAACAAAACACTTCCACTTTCTATTAAAAAACATTTTTACCCTTACTTTTTCATACCTTTTCTAATAATCTATCCATCACATCTTACTTTTACCCATCACATCAGGGGCAAAATTGGAAGTCAACTATAATTTAACACTTCCTTATTTTTGCTCCAAGTCAAAATAGGAAGTCTTTTTTCACACGGAGGGAGTATAAAAATATAAAACGAATTAAAATTAAAAAAATTACACCAAATTATTGGTATCGAAAAATACCTTAATTGTACTCAATATCATTATTTTAATATTTTTTTGCTAACATATTTTAAAGGACATTATTATTCGTCAAACTTTAGGTTCGAAAAGGGAACCAAAGAGTTAAATAGAAATGGAGTGAGTATATTGTTGGATGACAAGTTCTTTCGTGATACTTTGGTTCATGGTCTTTATAGGAACCTCAACACATAAAAATGATTGTATGTATAGACTTCTACATCAATGGTTTCATAAGACATCCATTATTTCCCACAGAAAGAGGATTAACATAAACTTTATCCAATCAAACTAAAACCGTTCATTAATGAGTTTATTCATTTCACTCCTAAACAAACTTTATACCATGCATTCATTGCATTCTCGAATCTCCCCAGCACTTTGCTATACCACATTCATTCTCATTCTCTTTTTACAAATGATTTCTAACTTCATATACTTTCCCTATCCCTCTTATATATAAAAAAATTCCGACATTTTCTTTCTTCATCTATCTTTAAAAAATATACCCGGAGTAATTTCTATTTTAAAAAAATTGCAAATCTATTAATTTTCTCTTTTTACATCTTTTATAACCATAGAATTTTATTTTTCTTGATCTCCGTTCCTTAAAACCTTTTCCTTCCATTTTTTCTAATTCTCTAAAACGATTCCATTTTTTATTAAAAAATCACTTGTACTCCTATTTTTTTCATGTCCTACCTATCACACTATACTTTTTTAATAATAACCAAAATATCAGATATTAATTTGACCCATTCAACCAAAATTACACTTTATTAAATTTGGCTAAAAGTCAAAACAGGAAAGAAAGGTAACTTAGAGAGTAAATATTAGTGGGATGGAGTATGAATCCATCCATCACTTTTTACTCAACATTCTTTGTTTCTATATAATCACACCACTCACCACTCTCCTAGCTAGCCAGCCCTCATATTCTTTTGCTCCAACAATTCTAAACCAGCTCTCAATCAATTTCTCATCTGTTTTCCACTTTTTCTTCATTTATTATACGTTATGCAAATCTCTCGAGAAGGCTCCGTATTGGCCAAGTGCAATACCACCAAACGCCGAAGCGGCACTTCGTCGCCGGAAAACTCAGGCTGCTCCCCCGGCGGCGGCGATTGCCATTCATCCGCGGCGGCATCGGTTCCCAACGACGAAGATGAAGCCCTGGCGAATTGTTTAATTCTCCTGGCAGGCGGCGGCGGCGGCGGCCAAACCGGTCCGTTTGCTTACCGGTGCAAGACCTGCGACCGCAATTTCGCGTCGTTTCAGGCGCTGGGCGGGCACAGGGCGAGCCACAAGAGGCCGAGGACCGGATTCACCGCCGCCGCGGGAGAAGAAGAAGAAGAAGGTCCACGGAGTCATACCGCGGGGATCGCCGCACCGGAAAACAGCAAGGCCCACGAGTGTGCGGTTTGCGGGTCGGATTTCGGGTCGGGTCAAGCTCTGGGAGGTCACATGAGAAGGCATAGATCCGTCCCCCACTCCCCTGCGAAGCCCCCCACGGGAAGTTACGGTGCGACCCACGGCTCCGGATCATCATCGGGCGGCAGAGAGATGATTCTGGCGCTGGATCTCAATCTGCCCCCTCCAATGGAAGAAGAAGAAGAAGAAGAAGACGATCTCAAAATGCAAAATCTCAAGATGATTCTGGTGGACTGCCATTACTGAAACTGATACGGAGTGTATTTTCCCATATTATTTGTCATGCTTTTTCAACCGTTGCACAAATTTTTGTTTATTGATAAAATAAAATATTCTTGACACCTCTTATTGCGAAAAACTTTTCATGTAGTTTTTTGATATGTAATTTTTATTTTTTATTTTTTAACAATATGTAAATAAAATGAATTGAAAAAACTTGATATTTTGCCTCGGTAATAGAAATGTGACAAATAATTTGGGAGGGAAATAGTATTTTTTTTAATTTTTGGAATGGGTTGTTTGTGTTCGACCAACCATACCAAACTTGTCATGATTTGTTATTATTTTAAAGAGGAATGCTAGGGGTACACCATTTGTCCCCCACCCATTTCTCCACCATATAATTTTATTTTATTTTTATTTATTTAATTTTTTTTTATTTTCTTGCCTTTTTTTGTGGTGATGGAGGGAGTGAGGGACAAATAGGGTACACCAAAAGTGTACCTCTACCATTTTTCTATTTTAAACTTACAAAAAATGGTCATTCGCTGCATTTTACTCCCACTCCAATCAATGGCGCGGAGTAAGTGCATCCTACATTTCTACTTGAGCAATGCTAGGTGTACACTAAACGTGTAGCCCAAATGTACACTAATCCTTCTATACCATTCATTTTTATTTGATTTCTATTTATTTAATTTTTTGAATTTCTTGTCTTTTTATGAGGACAAGGAGAAAGTGTGGGGCATATGGGGTAAATCTTTTGGACTTTTGGTGTACCCCTAGTATTTTTCTTCCTACTCCCTTCATTCGGATTTGGCTATTTGTTTTTGCAATTTAAATTTTGAGTAAATTTTTAAACTAATCTTTTCTAATGAGGTGTTTTCCTAAATTAGTTCTAAATAAGTTTAAAATACCGACATGAAACTTTATAATTGTTTCCTAAATAATCCTTCATAAAAAATACCATTTAAATGATGATTAATTAAAGGGTATTTTTGTATTTTCATTATTTAAACTTAAAGTAACTTTTCAAAATGGTCATTTCTATACAATTTCAATGAAAATTAAAATAATCATAGACTATACATAATTCGTGAATTATTAAAAATATGTCAAAATATTTTAAAATTTGAATCAATGCAAATACACCTCCTTGTATAAAAGACCATTTTGGAAAAACACTTGGCCTCACCATCCCTGGTAATCTGTCCGAGTGGATATCGCGAGGTCAGATCGGTAAGCTTGTGGCTTGAATCGTAGAAGCTTCGAAGACTGGCCAGGTATTTGCATTGACCAAGCGCGGGTCCACTTGGTTCTGACAAGCTCGAGTGGATGATTTGATATGAACAGTACTGATAAACAATGTATTTTCTATTATTATAAATAAGAGTGAAAACCTCATAAAGAAGACAAACAATAAATAATCTACACAGCTTGTAAGTTGTAGTCAGTCCCCATACTATAAATAACAAACCTTCTGTTTTTAGTGACTTAATACTTACGTTGGTTTTACACCATCAATCAGGATTGGAGATCGCCGCCCACCGGAGTTGTTGCTGCCGCCGGTCGCCACTATTGCAGCGACTTGGCCGCTGCTTAATTCCCGTACCACTCCCCTTTCCTGGTTGCTGCAACTTGTCGTTGCAGATTGAATGAAGAGCGAATTTGATGGAGAGACATTGGAGATTTGATCTTCAACTTTGGGCGTTACTTCGCTGTTGTTTGACCAAGAAGAAGTCGCTGAAACTGATACCCTTTTTCTTTCATAAGCTGTAATTGAAGTGGGGAGAGGGGGGGCTTCTTTATGTTTATGATGGGTTTGGGCTCCGGCCCAAATTCAATCCTTTTTTTCAGAGGTGAACTTCAATTTGACCTTTTGCTATATTTTTGTTAAAAAAAGATGTCTGATAATTTGGGTTAGAAAAAAAATAAAAATGTAAAAAAATGATTAAAAAGTTATTATTTATGAAAGTAAAATTAAATATTGTAAAAATAGGAATTAAAATTAAGCAAAGCTAAACAACTAAAAATTAAATTCTAAAAATATAAAAAATGCCTAAAAAAGAATAAAAAGAATCAAACCAAACCCGACTTATCAGGTAGCAAAGGGGCAGGGCAGGAGGGCACCCCATTGTAACTGCTCCTAAATATACTTTATCAAAAAACTAAACATAAAATCAAAAATTTTCCTAATTAGATGTGATTTCCTTAATGTTAATTGGGGGGCAGATGCATAAAATTTAAAATTAAATAAAAAACTTACCTCAAAAATTTGTCTCCAACTCATATTAACTACATGGATTAAGCTATTTGTACCCATGTTTTTGTAGCCCAATTTGTACCTCGCAGATTTGCACTAACATTTTGTGTTGTTGTAAAACTAATTTTTGATAATGCACCAATACTTTGTGTCTGTGTAAATTTTTGTTATCGCACCAACACTTGTGTCGGTGTAAAGTATCAAAATGTTTGTGCATAACTATAATATACAAATGGGTACATTTTTTAGTGTAATTGTAGCATGGTTGTAACTACATCCGCAGCTGATCTTTACTTTCTTCTTTTAAAAAGATATTGTATGGCTCAAAAGCGTTCTCTCTCCTCTCTTTAAATTCAAACTACTCATTTATTTAGTTTTCATTATTTTATTTGAACTCCGTGATCGAATATTTGAAAGTCAAACACAAAAGATTTTACGGGACAGAATAAGTAATACGGAGTATAATTTTTTATTTAATTGATTGTGAAAATAAAATTTGACAAACACACAGAAACAGATGTGGATATTTTCACATACACAAAGATATACTCCCTCTGTCCCGCAAAAAAAGTTTTTCTTTCGTTTTTTCATCCGTCTTAAAAAATATTTCTCATTTCCTTTTAAAAAGTTACTTTTACCCATACTAATTCTTAACCTACATATCATACCACATTTTTTCCCTATTAATCTATCCAACACATCCTACTTTATCCATCACATCAAAGGGAATTTTTGAAAAGTCAACACCAAAATACACTCCCCTTAAATCCTCAAAAAGTCAAAACGGAAACTTTTTTAAAGGACGGAGGGAGTATAAGTTTTGGTTCGAGTGAGAATATGAATGCACAATGAAAGAAATAAAAATGCATATGATTCATCAAATTTAAAATTTAAGGGAATAAGGGTTGTAAATAAGTAAAAAAATCAAACAAATAAAAATACAATGGCATAATCCCAAAAAAGTTGAACTTTTCTAACATTGTAAAAATACACTACTTTATTTACAAATGTGCATCATGATGAACAAAAACATTACTCGTATGTGTAAATTATACTTTTATTCAAATTTTTATTTCTGTGTAGATAAATCTAAAAATAAAACTCCGTAACACCGTATTTGAAATGCTATTTTGATAGAATTCGCTCCTCTTAGTTTTTTTGAAATAAAAACTAAATTAAATAAATATTTTTCTATTTAAATATCATTTTTTGTTTTTATAATGATTTAAATGTAATTTAATTTTTTTTCAAAAATTAAAAATTTTTGTTATATATTAAAATGTAAATTAAGTAGGTACATATTATTATATTAACCTCAATCTGTTCCGTAGCCGATACTGGATCATCACGAACCATAAGGAGACAATTTAGTCCTTAGTCTCTAGGCATGACAACTGGGCTTATTAATTACTCCCTCCGTCCCCCAATCTTTGTCTACTTTCATTTTTATACACCATCCAATGCACTTCTTTAATCCATTTTATCTTGTAATTTGTATATTAAAAAATTATAGAAATTATATATTAATAATCTATATATTAAGACAAATCAAACAAGATGACATATGACTATATTTAGGCTTATACATTGAGAGAATTTGATGAGTTAAAGTTCTTAGATGAATAATTTCAAAAGTCAAAAGTGGACAAACACTGGGAGACTTTCACTGATTGAACTTTCACTAATATGATGTCATGACTCATGACATTCAGTTCATTTTTTGATGCCCTTACAATAATCTAATCAACCCCGAACTAGTTTATGGCTTTGTTTGGTAAAAGCTTTTTCGATTAACTTTAGTGTTTTGAATAAAATTTAAACGGTGCAGATTAATTCTGAAATCGCTAACGCTAAAGGCTACCATTGTATAGCTTTTTCAAAACACTAACGCTAATTTCTGATGTTGATGCCAAACGGGGCGTATATCTTCCTATCTCCTATACTATCCATATTTTATGGTTAGAGGAAGAAATAGACTTAAGAGATTTGGCAAGCGTTGGAGACCTTCGCGAGAACAATTTTACATCAGATATAATATATGATAAGATGCAAGGACATTGTCCGATCCATGTAGCCGACCGCACCTCGTGGGATAAAACTTTGTTGTTTTTATTGATTTTTCTTTTTGGACTTGCCAAAAAAACACTCTAGAAAACAAAAAATGAAAATGTATAATTTAAGATCAATCGAGTATATGTTATTTATTTTTATTTTTATGTTAAATATACAGAATTTTAAATATTTAAAACATTATAAAAATTGAAAAGAAATTTCAAAAACTTTTCTAGGAAAAAGAAACAAATAGATAAAAAGGAGTTTAAAAAAATCAAATAAAAAATAAGCACTAAATAAGCAATAATTCCCATTCTATGCCAATAAATGACTGAAAAATGATCACAGAGGATGTGGTACATCATTTTGAAACTACGAAGATTTTTAGAAATAAATTTTGAAATAGAGATAATAATGATGCTAATTAGCTAAACCAAAAAATTTGTCCACTTTTGACTTTTTTATCAAATTTGATAAACTTGACTCCAGATTATATATAAATGATACTCCCTCCGTCTCATGAAACTTTTCCCCTTTCTTTTTTTATCCGTCCCACAAAACACTTCTCATTTCTATTAAAAAGTCACTTTTACCTCTTACTTTTTCATACCCTAACTATCACATCATACCTTTTTACTTATAATCTATCCATCAAATCATACTTTTACCTATCACATCAAATGACATTTTTGTAAATTCAATACCAAAATACACTTTTCTTAAATCATTCCTAAAAAGCAAAAGTCCCATATTTCATGGGACGGAGGGAGTATTAGATATTGATACAAAACTAATTTTATTAGATTTATTATATAAAATATTTTTCAAATATCATTTTATCTAATTAATATACAATATATATTATTTAATTATAGGTCAAAAGTTAAAAAAAGTTCACTAAAAATAGTCAAAATTGGACAAATACTCAAGGAGGGTGGTATATATACTAATAAAATATAAACAAAATGAAAAGACTAATAAAAATACGCAATCAATGTTAATATAATTTGACTGTATGATTAATGAAGTAGACAGATGAAGTATCATTTAAAAATCTACATTAACATCTAATGTTGAAAATTATTGGTATCCTTAAAATTTACTCCGTATTTTTCTCCCATTTTTTCACTTCAACAAAATGTATGACACAAATATTGCATAATATATGATTACATATTGGCCAATAGGATAGGAACAAATATTGCATAATATATGATTACATATTGTTCAAACATTACCAAGTCGTTAACCGGGTTGTGGATCGACCTATCAATTAACAACCCATGACCCAGTTGTTGGTCCGGTTCAACATCCAATTCAAGTTCAGAACATTTTTTGGGACATGCATTCATTATTTGTTTGTTGCTTAGTTGTGACAAGCATTGAGGAACTTCAAAAGTTAAGCAGCTGGTGATTGTGTGATCCTTTGCACCATGTCCAAGGTTACACATGGTTGATCTGCAGGAACCTGCATAAGAATTTGATCAATATATATGGAGTTGAAAAAAATTATATATCATAACAGTACATCATATGATTGAATTTGGCAAGAACAATTGTTTTATCCATATTTAGTTGTTCATATTTTCATTTAAAGCATCTGGATTCCATATTTAGTAAATAAATACTCTCTTCGTTTTGAAATATTCTTTAAGTGCAAATAATTTAAATTATACTGAGGTAATATTGAAATTTATTTATATGAAAGAGAAACCTAGTAACCAACATATTACAATACTTAATATTGCAAAAAAGGAGAGGTATAAAAATATTTTTAGACACGTAATTTTAACGTGTTATATTCCTCTTCACGTAAAATGTATGAATGTATAACACGTAACACATATTGAAATTTTACAATGTGCATGGTCTGAGTTTAATTGTACAAAGCAAACAAATGTATGTTTTCTGCCATTTGATTTTCAAGATTTCATTTTTATCCTATTACAGATTGGAAATGCCATAAGAACCATATAAAATATTTCGTTAACAACGAAATGAGCTTTGTACAATTATTAAATAAACATATACTCCGTATCATTTTATAATGTGCAGGCTCTATGTATGTGCAAAAAATGTGCGAAATGAGCATTGCATAATCTTTGAATGAGCATATGCCAAAGGCATATTAAAAATCTTACATATGCATAATATTAAGAATTTGTCTTTAACTAAAGTTCAAAAATTAAGTGTAGAAAAGGTTTTCCAATTTCCATAGCTTGAGTTGTTAAGCTAGCCTAATCACAATGTTAAAATGATGGACCTTAAATACATCACTCCATTTGTCCCATATTTTTATTCTTTTTAAAATTAAATTTTATTTCAAAATTGTTAAAACTTGACCAATGTTTGTATAAAATGTATATTAAATTACTCCGTATAACATAAACTTGATATCATTACACTTGTTTTTGAATGTTACCCCGTAGTATTTTCAAGTCATACAATTATATTATGAAAATATTTATTTAAATACTAATGATTAAATGATGTATAAGAGGCCAAAAAAACTAATGCTATATGAAAATTATGAGACAAAGGGAATATTATATGAGAGTGCAAAAAAGAAGATTTAAATGTAGAATAATAGTTCACTTACAAAGTGGCCAGCGCCAAGAATCCAATAAAAGTTTAAGTTGCTATATGACTTGGTGAATGCCTTTGTAGAGCCTTTGCCCCCACAATAAAGCGGAGTTCTCTCTTTCCTTAAGAATGCTTTTAGTCCTTTCCATCTGTACATGGAATTGAAAACTTTCACATTTGCATTATACACAGACTGTTTTTTTTCAAATTAAAAAACAATATTATCGACAATCAGGGATGGAGTCAGAATTAAAATATTGGAGACAACTATAATCACTTATTGATAATTAAATTATATTATGATTCTATTTTCTATTTATGGTGTATTCTTTTTTAAATTATGATAGTTGTATCGTAGAAGTATTCGCTTTCCTAGTTTAATTTTTTCCTTTCCTATACCTATATATAGGGCCATGAGACGTTTAATAAACCAAGAATGGAAGTACTATTCTAACTACTTATGCATGACTATTGATTATGGGGGATGATTTTACCACTAACTATCAAATTACGTGTTCTCGCTGTCAGTTAATCTCATCTCCACTTTTTTGTTATGTGATATTGATAGCTTAATTACTATGATTCAAAAATATGTGATATTGATAGCTTAATTACTATGATTCAGAAAATTATAATTATAAAGGGTCACACTCTGAAGATTTTGATTGGTACAACTAAAGAAAGAGGGGAAGTCTATATGTAAAAGCATGTGGTTTAATCAAATCCATGTCATATTATTCACAGAACAATGTTGTTGATTTGTTACATTGTCATTTGGGTCATCCTGCTAGGCATACCATTAGAGATGGCATACGTAGCTATTACATATACGAGGTGCAACCAGAATACACGATTGAAAAATACTTGGAAAGCAGAATCAATCATCATCCAACACTAGGACCTACCATACATCACTAATAGGAAATAACCTGCACAGTAGACTTAATTAAGTATACCGGACCCATATTCGGACATGTTTAAAAAATTTAAAATGGGTCTTGGTTTGGAACACCGGCACCCTATAATGAACCTGGATAAACTCGGACTCGATAAAAATAAATAGTGATGTTAAATTTTTAATGATATTATGGTAGTAAATAATATATTTACACTTCAAGTGTTACTTGTATATAAGAACTTTGATAACATAAAGTATAGTTATTTATATCATGTGCAAACGTAATATGAATTCACATCTTAAGGTAAAATAAAAAACTATCTGTCATCTAGACTCAGATTCGGACCCAATCCGACCAAGACCTGAATGAGTCCAGGTCCAGTAAGACAAACGGTAGAACCGGTGGATCTTGGATACGGATCAATTTTGTTTCAATCGATCCAAATCCAACATATTAAGACATGCATGGATAAGTAAAATTTCTTACTTGAGCTTGCGAATCCAAGATTCAGTTCCCTTGGTAGAACATATGACATCAAGCTGCAACATCCCAACGAAAATTTATTAATATCTAGCTGATGTGATATACGAGTAACGATATTTATACCACTGGTTAGACTTTAGAGATTTTTTAAAAGGACAAATGAAATAAATCATACTATGTATGCCCAAAACATTATTATATTAAATAATTATTATCCTCATTTCTTTGGTTAGTGTAACTCCCTTTGTATGATTTGCAACTCCCTTACTTTATGACTTGTAACTCCTAAGGATTTTATTTAGTAGTTAACTAGGATTATTACTATTATGTATAAATAGCACGTTGTTGTAATTGTATTCAATCAATCAAGAACAAAATTACTACTTCCTCACCCGGTATCAAGTGCTTAAGCAACTTTGTCTTCCTTCATGGTCCAATTTTTTTCCTCCACGTAAGGACACAATCACCAAAGATACCCCAATCATACAATTACATGTCCAAACACACTTCCTTATGAAACGTGTCTCTACCAATTTCCCCATACAGCAGCGACAAGTTTGCTCAACACTTATCGGCCTGGATCTTCTAGGCTATGTTGATGGTTCTCTCACGCCACCCGCCGCTACGAACGATGATACTGTCAACCCTTAGCTTTTTATTTCATTTGGTTCTTTTATTGGGGAACTCCTTGGTAGTTGCTCTGAAAAAATACAACCCCTTATCTCCCATGTTGGGACCACTCGTGAAGCGTGATAGAACTTGCACCAAAGCATAGTTGTCACGACGTCACCTAAGCGTCCTAGCGCCCTTCTACTCTCGCCATGGGAGTTTGCCTCACCTTATTTTGCATACCTTGCCTAGGCGTTGCCTTGGCCTCACCTTGGCTCGCCTCGTCCAGTGCTTTATCTATTTTTATTTTTCTACTCTAGTGCTTTATTTTTTATTAAGTGTTTTATAGCCCCGACTCCAGTGCTTTATTTTTTTTAATGCTTTATAAATTAGTTTATCTTCAATTAAAAGTTTTTTTCAACTTTATCTTAATTAATATTCGGTGCTTAATTTCTTAAATGTTACTAAATGATTAATTTATTTCCAATTTAAGCCGGTAATGCTTTTTTACAGTTTTGGTTTTTTTGGAGGAAAGTACCTAAAAGTAACTTTGGTTGTTAAACTTTGTTGTATTAGAAAAATTGAAATTTTATCAATTACAAATATAATGTGATATATTTATATTAGGATTTTTAATGTATAGCAATTCTCCTATATTATGTGTTGCCTAATTGTCGCCTAGTCGACTAGGCATCCTGGCAATACCTTGGCGCCGCGCCTCGACTTGGCACCGTGACAACTATGAGTACAAGCAGTCAAGCAGAGGTCATGTGACTTCGTTGAAATCACAGCTTGGCAAAAATCCACAAGGTAACCGTTCCATCTCTGATTGCCTTCACGAAATGCAGTCCATTGCCAACAAACTCGCTCTGGTCCGAGATATGATATTTGAAGAGGACATAGTAGTTCATGTCCTAAATAAAGTAGGCGACGATTATGACGCAATTATCCCCGCAGCCCGAGTTTGTGAACCATTTTGTTCACCAAACTTTGCGATATCCTCAAAGCTCATGAACAAAAACTGAAGATGTCCTTCAAAGCACCTCAAACTCTGGGTGCCATGGCGAATGCTATACATCCGTCCCAAAGTGTTTGACTAGTTTTGACTTTCTGCCATCAAAATTGACAAACTTTGACCATTAATTAAATAAAATTGGTATAGATATTGATACAAAAATAATTTTATTAGTTTTATCTTGTACAAGATTTTCAAAATATTGTTTTATTTAATTTTTAAATAATATAGCATAAAATTTTTATTTAATAATAGGCCAAAGGTTAATCTTGGTTGACTACAAAAAGTCAAAACTGGACAAACATCCTTCAGTCCCTATGGTCATGAAAGTGCCGACTTCTGTAACAGATGCTACGGTCGTGGCCCAGAGCCCCTCCCGCACGCCAAGCCCAGTGTTGTGATGGGTCTTATCAATTCCGCTACAATTCTGGTCATGATGTCAAGGAGTGTCGTAAGCTTGCTCGCTTTCATCAAGAAACATAGACTTGTCCTAGTGGTCATACAACACAGATGACTCCTCCCATGGTTATAACACTCCAACCACTGGCGGTTCATGGCTCATTGACAATGGTGCTAGTCTTAATGAGATCCACCTAGGTAATGGTAATGGTTTGAAAATTGCTCACAGTTTCCACAAAATTATCTCCATCCCCGCATACCCACTCTCTCTTACCAATGTTTAATGTGTTTCCAATCTTCACCAAAATCTTGTTTCAGTTTCTCAACTTTGTCAAACTAACATTGTGTGTGATGAATTCTCTCCCTCTTATTTTCTTGTGAAAAATCTGAAATCGAGGGCACCTTTACTTCGCGGCACCAATTTTAATGGTGTCTACTATCCAAGTCCGCCTATCAACCCACAAGCTCACTCACCCACAAGCTCACTCCACCTCATTTGTCCACATTCCACCATAGATTTGGTCATCCATCCAATAAAAGACATCTTATCTTGCTGTAATAAGTCCTCTTTGTAGGACCTAGTTAGTTTCCACTGTACCTATTGTCACAAACTACCATTTCATGAAAACACCCTTGTTGGTCGGAACCCTCTAGAATTAATCTGCACGGATGTATGGAGTTCTGAGATTTCCCTTGATGGTTAATTGGTTATCATCAATATGTTATTTTTGTTGATGATTTTACAAAATATATTTGGCTATACCCACAAGCAAAAATCCGAGGTCACTCATGTTTCGCAATAAACAAAAACCTTGTGGAAAAATACTTTAAACACAAAATCATCACGCTTTTTTCTGACAACGGTGGTGAATTTATCAAACTCAAATCCATGTTGAATTCATTTGGTTACCATTTCACCACCCATCCTCACACTCCTAAACACAACGGCAATACTAAACCGAGACACTACCATGGCATTGCGACAGGACTCACCTCTCAATCTACATACAAGTGTCTCGACTCTAACGCGAATTGTTTGTACTTGTCTCGTCACATCAAACTTGTTACAAGTCCAACCATTCCTTCCTCTCCTTCCTCATTTGTTTTCCATGTCGTCGAACCCGTTCCTGGGATCCCATCCAATCCTGGGTCTAACCAAGCCTTGTACCTTCATTGTCCACCCCTATGCCCTACCTATCCCAAGACACCAACCCATCCTGCGACATCAATCCATCCTCGAATCCCAACCCATTCCATGACCCCAACCCATCCCTTAGCTTCAACCCATCCTGGGACCCAAAACCTTGTCTTCACTAGAATCCATATTTTCCCAACTTACCCCGACAACTACACCTAGGACCCAACCCTGGGAACCTTCCTCTGCATCCATACCCCGGATCCTAAACGGTGAATTAGCCTTAAGACTCTAGACCCACCAGGCCACCGCACATTTTGCTTAGTATTCACAACAAACCAGCAAACCAAATCTCTAACACTTTGGCCCTACTTTTGAGTCCCAGATCACCATCTCCAATCCTATCACACCCACAATCAAACCAAGCACCGCTGCCCAGGCTCTCAAAAACACCCATTAGCGTCAAGCTATGGGGGCACATGGCAGCTTGTTCTAGGCTCAGCCTGCAAGCACATTGGGTGCAAATGGATATTTCATGTTAAAGAAAAGTTGGATGGCTCAGTTGAGGTTGATTGTTTTCAAATCCGTGTTGTGGCCAAGGGTTACCTTCAGCAACCAGGCAGAGACTTGACTGAGAGACTAAACTGACAGCCTGGTTATGAAACCGGTCACCATTCGCCTAGTTATATCCATTCCTCCCACTCACAACTAGTCACTTAGACAGCTTGATATAAAAAATGTCACTTGAGACAGCTCGATAGAAACAATGTTCTTCTACATGGCAGAATCTCTAAGGAGGTCGATATGGAACAACCCCTTGATTATGTTCATCCAGGCTACATGTCTCATGTATGGCGTCTGTCCATGGCACGGTATGGTCTAAAGCAGGCACCTCGTGCATAGTAAGAGAAATTGAATAGGTTCTTAGTGTTTTCTGGCTTCAGCAAATCCAGAGTTGATGCATCCTTATTTATTTATCATCATGATGATATTATTGCATATTTTCTAGTTTACATAGATGAGTAGACGACATTATTATGATGGGTAATTCTAATTAATTCTTAGCAAGCTATGTGAGTGTTCTTGCAGATCAGTTCTCCCTCAAAGATCTTGGCCCTCTACATTACTTTAATACTTTTTTAGAGTTGAAGTAATACCCCTTCCTATGTGTCTTTTTATGTTGTAGGCTCAATATGTATCAGACATTCTGCAATAGGTCTCTATGGATGGGGAAAAACCTATGGCCACTCCTTTAGCAGCTAAAGAGTCCCTTCCTCCACCTGCAGACCGCAAACAAGATGTTGATTCCTCCAGATTGGAAAGCTTCAGTATCTTGTTCTTACTCGCCACGATGTCTCCTATGCAGCCAATAAGCTCTCCGAATATAGGCATGCACCTACCGATGCTCACAGGTTTGCCCTCAAGCGGGTACTAAAATACTCGAAGGGCACCTTCCTTCATGGCATGTTTCTATCTTGGCATGTTCCTCTTCAACTACATGCATTCTCTGCCTCTGACAGAGGTGGAGTTACTGATGGTGGTCACTCCCTGATTGCATATATTCTTTACTTGGGTTCAAATATTATCTCTTTGAAGTCTACAAGATAGAAAATTGTTTCTCATTTTCCCATGGAGGCTAAGAGTCATTCATATTTAATGCCATATTGGAGCACTTATGGGTTTAGAACTTGAACCAATAACTACATATCTCACTGCACAGTGTGCGGACACTTGCGGTTATAATCTCTATGAGATCTGTCTCTGAAAAAATCTAGTCCTACACTCATAAATGAAGCATCTTGCTCTGGAGTATTACTTTGTTCAAATTTAATAGCAGCAGATCATCTTCGGGTCTCAACAGATTGCCGATGTTCTCACTAAACCGCTACCCAAGCACATTTTTCTCATGTTTCAATCCAAGAGTGGCGTCACCAATGAATCCTCCATCTTTCGGTGGCATATAATAAAAAATAGTTATAATAATACTTATTATCTTCATTTCCTTGTATATGGTGTAATTCTCTTGTATGATTTGTATCTCCTTTATATGGTTTGTAACTCCTAAAGATTTTATTTAGTCGTTAACTAGGATCATTACTTTTCTATATAAAAAGCACTCCATTGTAATTGTATTCAATCAATCAAGAATAACAATATTATCTTCATGTTTCAATCCAAGATTGGTGTCACCAATGAATCCTCCATCTTTCGGTGGCATATAATAAAAAATAGTTATAATAATACTTATTATCTTCATTTCCTTGTATATGGTGTAATTCCCTTGTATGATTTGTATCTCCTTTATATGATTTGTAACTCCTAAAGATTTTATTTAGTCGTTAACTAGTATCATTACTTTTCTATATAAAAAGCACTCCATTGTAATTGTATTCAATCAATCAAGAATAACAATATTATCCTCTCTTACTCCGTACATATCTTTCTTAAAGAACTAAGGAAAGTACAAAATTTATTTTGAAATAAATGGAATATGAAAATATGAAATTTATTTTGAGAGAGGACGAATATATAGAAAATGAAGTTGGTTGATAATTCAAGACATACTTGGCCATTGTAAATAGTCACATTCACTCCTTTAGCCAATAGCTCGTCAACCTATAACAATAAGAAGAAAAATTATAGTTTCTCGATCGAAAATAATAATAACTATTATCATCATTATCATCATCATTATTAAAGATATTATTTTCTTTTATTAAAGTCGCTCTTTTACCTATGAATTTGAAGATTACTTTTAACTTACTCTACAATTTAATTCTCATTGACAATGATTGGACAAGAGATAAGTGGTCCACATTATAACTCATTAAAAACTCACCACTTATTGTACCCTATATATCTAATGACAAAGTATTGAAGCCAAAGTAGAAACATTACTCCATATTTTAGGGAAGAAACATATACCTCTTCAATCCTTGGTCTCATGAAATCACCCATCATTCTTTCAAACACAGCATCTTCCTGCTCTCCCCATCTTTAAAAACAATAGAACCCTGTGGTCACTCTCTTGCATACTAAATTAAAGTTAATCCAAATTACGGTGGTCATGGCCAGCTTCGGTTCTGAATCGATACCAGAAAATTATATTCTAGAATTGATAGGAATCGGAACAGGGACCCTTATACATACCTTGTATATATAAAGTTCCGACTTCCGATTCTATCAAATGGAGGATCAAAACTGGAGATTCAAATTCCGAAACATGACCTTAATAATAGGCTAGGATGCCAATTTTGAATTAGAAATTTAGAATAGGAAAAAATAAACTTGTGAAAAGGACATAACTAGTTTGGAGTTTTTGCATGAAAATCAACATTTCTCTAAATTCATACAGAGTATATGTTATTTATATAGTACTCCGTAACAAATAAATGTTAAAAATATAAGTACCCATGAATAATGATACACACACACACACACACATATATATAGCAAACTAAAAAAGGAAAGTATTCTGCAGTACAAATTAAATGAAATATACTTACGTTAAGTTTTTAGGAATAATTCTTAATTTATTTCTAATGGGCCCACCCATTAAAGTAGGAAGATCCAAAGGATGACCTGCTGCAGAAGAAGGCTTCATCATATTCTTCTCCTTCAAAGAGCGTAGATAATTGGAGTATCTTTTCTTTGGCACCTTATTTTGTAGATATGCTTTGTTTGAAACAGTTGATCCCAATAATGCATCATCATCCGAATTCAGATCCGACAAGAAGTTGTACAAGTCCTATTCAGTAGTGTCATGTGTAACTCAGTATACTCCAAAATAAATTCACATTTTTCTTTAATGTTACTAAATAAAATACAGTGTATGACTCATAATATTTCTACTATTTCTGAATAAATTCTAACGACACAATTTTTTTATTTTTTAAAAGCATATCACATGTGATTTAATCATTTGTGTCTTCCAGATAAACTCGAACCAAACTACTCCCTGCGTCCCTGAAAACATGGGAGATTTTGATTTTTAAGGGATTTAAGGGGAGTGTATTTTGATGTTGCATTTTCAAAAATGTCCTTGGATGTGATGGGTAAAAGTAGAATTTGATACGTAGATTAATAGTTAATAGTTAATAGATGTGATGTGATAGGTAGGCTAAGAATTAGTAGGGTAAAAATGACTTTTTAATAAAAATGAGAAAAGTTTTTTGGGACGGATGAAAAAGGAATGGAGAAAGGTTTTCAGAGACGGAGGGAGTATGTTATTTGTTTAGAGATGAACGGAACGGAGCCTTAGACCCTGTTCTCTTCAACTTATTTTTGCTAGTTATTACTCATTCTTATCTCAATTAGATCATATCACTTCAATTCAGATCAAATCATTCGAGAAAAATTTGAAAACAAATAATGTTGATAGTAAGAATAATAACAACAACAACAATAATAATAAACAGATCTATTTAAGTTAAATTATATCAGACATAAAACAGATTCAATTAGCTGGGATGAAGAGAACATGGCCTTCATCTAATTCAACAATTAAATTCTTCGAGGTATAATGCATATGACACTTTCAATTTAAAAGCAAAATATGAGGACTCACTTTAATTATAAAAATGAAAAAAAAAAGTTTCCTAAAGACCATTTACCAAATCAAAATTGCACTTTAGTGTTTTAAAAACATTTAACCCTTTGTTGCACGATTTTCTTGACATTTTTTGTCCATACCACAGCTTTTTTTGGTATAACATATTTAGTAATATTCGTGTAACTCACATTTGTTCTTTTTTTAGTCATAATTATTAATACTGTATTTTGTAATATATGTATGACTCATAAGTCCTAAGTTAATGATCTAAAAAACTACTATTAATACACTCCCTCCGTCCCAAAAAAAAGACTTTTTATTTTCTTTTTTGGTTATCCCAAAAAAGTCCTCTTTCCTCTTATGGAAAACTTTGAGTGGCTCGCAATCTTTTTCTCCTCTGCATCACTTTCAACTACACATTTTCACTTTTCTTAAACTTTGTGTCATGTCAAACTGGGAGCCCTATGGGGGGACGGAGGGAGTAATATTTATGCAGTCCATATAATAGTTAAAAATCTCACACACATTGAAATAATTGATGATAATGGATATTTTGGAGCAAATAGAAAAAATTAGGAATTATATGCTATGTGGAAAATTGAAATGTTACCACTCCATCAGAGTTTTCACCTATCACGCCTTGGAGTTGGCCCCATAAGGTGGTCGCATTTTTAAATTCTGCAGCATCAATTTTCTTCTTTATTTCTTGAGATAATCTGTTATGCAGAGAACAAATTTAATTCTATTGGTTACATAATTGACGCGATTTATGATCTCTACATCTGTCTTACTCTTTTTTTCATTTCTTTATATTGATATGCCCTAAAAGAAATTATAATTATACCATGTAAATTCATTATCAACGATGTAATTCTCACTTTTCTCAATATGTGTCTCTCTCATGCCCTAGAATTAGTGGTTGGGATGAGGTGAGTGTAAGGAATCTAGTAGGGGTGATGACGCTACATTGCAGCATTATAAGGGATAATATACGAACGAACGTGAAGATATTTGATAGGCTAAACGAGTTGTGTTATCACATTCAGATTAAATTATTTTGGGGTATACCAAAATAGTTGTATCAAGAATGAGTAGAGAAATTATGTTTTTCACAAAACATACCTTGAGACTTCATATATATAGAGCACAAACTGATTAGAAACGAGAGTTGAAAAAAATAACACATTTAGTTGAATTTTTGAATGTTAAAATGTCTTGGCCAAGACATTCGAATGTATGCATTGTCTTTCAATGGTTTCAACATTCGAATAACATTCGAATGTCGAATGTAATACTTTAAAAATTCAAATGTTGCCCTATTTAAGACTCTGTATATGAAAATTTGAAGGATTTCCTTAAAGAAACAATGTCCAAAATTTCCTTACAGAACTCTACCCCAGTGAGGGGCTCTACCCTTGGAACCCACCAGGGGTTGTTGCCCCTTGGACGTGATCCAACTACAGACCTACTACAGAATTTGAAATATCATTGAACACGCGTGCACCCTGCATCGCCTAACTCGTTAACAATGCCTACTAAAGTTCTCGTCTAATCTAAGTAAATACGTAAAATAGTCGATGACACTAAAATTACGAGCAGTGAGTGTGAGACATACCTTGTCTATTTTATTTATTGTACTTCTAAATAAATTTCAGCAATAAACTTATTATGTTTTGAAATGCAATCTACTCCGTAATATGTTATCAATCCAAATTTAGTTGTCCACTTTATAAAACAACTCCTCTGTCTAACAAAGTACTCTCATTTTCCATAGTTGCTAGAACTTAAACAAAGAATTTTTACATATTTGCCTGAGTACTATGATATGTAGTATCAAGTCACGGGAATAAATTTCATCAAGATGATACATGACCGCATTGCTGCAAAATTAAGAAGCTCACTAAGTGGACGTGAAGAAGCAGCTTTTTTTAATAGAGATCTAGATGAAGACATTTACATGAAACAACCTGAGGGTTTCATAATTCTATGAAAAGAAAAGAATGTCTATAAGTTGGTTAAATCAATGAACGGTCTAAAACAAGCACCAAAATAATAGAATGAAAAGCTTGACCACATGATGAGAAGCCATGGGTTCAAAATCATGAAGCTAACGAGTGTCTCTATGTGAAAGACACAAGTGCAAGATATATTATTCTATTTCTTTACATAGGCAATATACTCATACATAATAGCTAATGACAAAATGGTCAAATCTATTAAAAATTTGCGAAACACTTTTTTGACATGAAAAACATGGGTTTGGTTCATTTAAACTTAAGGATTAAAATGTGAGAGGATCAGGTTGTCTTGATCTGGCCAATCTCCTGTATTTATAAGATCCTTGACAAATTTAACAAGGACGATGCCGAAGTGGCCAAGACAACATTCGACATGAATGCTCACTTGGACAAAAATCAAGGTGAGAGTAACTCTAAAATACAGTACACCAAGTTTATTGAAAGTCCAATGTACCTCATGAGCTTCACCAGAAAAGACCTAGCACTAAATTGAGTAAATACATAAGTAGTTTCAATGTTGCGCACTGGAAAACATAGTGCGAGTCATAAGGTACCTACAGTATACTTGTAATTACGACCTATACGACACAAGATATCCACTAGTGTTGGAAGGATACATTGTGGCAAACAAGATATTTGATACGAAAGATTTGAAATTTAAGAATGGGCATGTACGTCTTTATGCTAAAAGGTGTAGTTTCATCTCAGAAGTCGTCAAAATGGATGTTAATCGCTAGGTACCATATGAAATCCGAGTTCATAGCTCTAATAATATGGAGAGGAAGTCGAATGGCAATGTAATTTCCAGGACAACATTCCAAAGTGGGGCAAACTAGATTTAACGATTTGCACCTGCGATAACTATCCGTCAACAACACGACATGCAAAGAGCCATACGTACAATGGTAAGTCTAGACATATTCATTGAAGACATATCACCACTAAGAAACTTCTACCAATTGAGGTTATCATGATTGACTATAGAAAATCAAAGGATAACCAAGGGGGTCAACTAGCCTAAGATATAAACAAATACTCCGTAAGTTGCAAGAGAAGAAGGTGGCAAGAATGGGCTTGAAGATATCGTGCTAGCCTAGAATAGTCATGTGAAGAAAAACCACACTTCGCTAGTACCTAGGTTTAATGAGGCAACCTACTTTTTTGGATGAAGCACGATCATTGTAGAGGAATGGTCGCAACTCTAGATTTTCCCATTCCTTTATGCCAATAAAGTCTGAATCATGAAATAGGATGAGTGTAGCATATCTATATGCATTAATAATTCTTGGGAGCTAGGCACAATGGTCTACATGGAGTACATATTCGAGATAATGTTAAAGAACCAACTTTGATGAGAGAAGTGTGGTTGGGTCAAAAAGAAGATTGTGGGCATAATCCTTAAACAACTCTCACAAAACTAGGCATAGTGTTCAGTGACCGAAAATGGCATAAATATTACAAAGATACTTGTGTAAGACACAATATCATGTACAAAACGGGCTTAAAGACGACCTTTATTAAGCCTATATATCAATGTGATTCAAAAATATTTCCGGCAATTCTTTCGATCATATAAATTTCCTATCAATCGCATTCCGTTTGTTCTCATTTGTCAAAGTTAACGCACGCCATACCTCCATCTAAAAACTCGGTAGGAGGCCTATATTGTCTTAAGGATGACTTTTTGACGACTTTTCTCCTCCATATTCTTTTTCAGTTTTTTATTGACGACTTTATACTAACGACCCAAAAAGAGCAAACTATAAACTTTCTAGAAGTTTTTTAATCTCATCATTTGTTGTCCAAATACGACAAAGCTTTCATTTCACTCTACTATTGTAATTTAATTATATTGTAATTTATTAAATAATTTACAACCCTGATTTAGATTAATATTGCGCATTTCTGAATGCAACCCCAAAATAATACCTTGTATTCCATGCACATAAAAGTGGACACAATAAAGGAACTTTAGAATCTACCCTCGAAGAAAAACAGGGCTGAAGATATCAACACATAAATTTGTTGCTCGAAGTGTCTTGGATTTTAAAATGGTGTGATTTCCGCCAAAGAGTTGAAGATTATTTTCAATAAATGCAATGGTGTGAAAATGAAATAAATGAAGCATTTCGAGATAGGGCAATAATTCCCATACTCCCACCATCCAGGAGAGAGTTATAAACATATCTCAAGTGCAAACAAATGGAAACGAACCTTAAGCAATTACTTCTTCATCTCCCACTTCAAGAGGAGAGAGTTATTTTGGAGAAGAAAGAGAGTGTTGCCTCCTCATCAAATGCCAAGACAAATATGGTGAAACATAATAGGTGTTTAAAGTTGAACAAAAAAAAGAAAAATCATAGTCCCTAGCGTCGCAAAAAGAAGGTTCACGAGGAAGTGCAAGGACCATCACCGGCCACTGTTCTTCAGATTGCAAAAAGGACGAGGTAAATCCAAGGCTTGGATCATTTATTAAACATTTTTTTCTTTTCACCCAAAGCATAAACTTCCAACATTCATAATCCAAACTTTCTTAAGAAATGACAAGGTGTTTTTCTAAAATGAAACTCGTCTCGTGTCCACCTTTGATGGGTCTAAACTTCACAATTTACTGTTTTTTGTTTAAACATATTACCTATCGTATAAGCTAATACAAAATATAAAAATATATATTATAATATAATAAACACTTATTCCTACAACTTAATTTCTCAAAAAAAAGTCAATTATTCCTTAAAAGAAGGACCAGAGGGAATAGGGTTCAACACTGTACCATTCGTCTCAAAATCATCTTTTTTATGTAAAAATAACACAATTTTTTAAAGTGAATTAAAAAATTGTTTGAAAGCTTTTTATAATGATTTAAAGTTTTTAAATAAGATAATGGGAAGATGATTTTGATACTGATGGGTATATTGGGTTGTGATGGTTTTTTGATGTAGTAAGCCAAACATACGCGCACGACCCAAAGAAAGGACACACTAAACCAGATTAGTCCCCAGGTGTGACCGATAAGTAAAGTGAACGGGTCAATTCGATTTGGCCATGAGGCTTACGAGGTTGAGATAAGTGGAGTGGCTGCATCCCAGGGTTAATGACTTGGAGGGAAGAATTTGAAAGATACATGAACTATCTCAATCAATTCCCAAGATTGTCATGATTGATTGGAACTTGGAAGGCAACAAAGAATGTCTTCAATCCTATAAATACCTCTCCCAATGGATCTGAACCCTAATTTCTTGAATTTGAGTTATTGCATTCATTTCTTTATTCTTATATTTGATATTCAAGTGGTTGGCATTCCCGCGAGAAGTGAACAACATTTCAAGTAAATTAAAGTCCATCAGAAACCTTTTGCTCTAATGAGCGAGAAGATGATTTTGAGTGGGAGGTAGTTCGTGGGTGAAATATGGAATGCGATCGAGAAAGATATATTATGATTGAAAATCATGCAGTGAGTCTATAGTTTACACCGCCCTAGTTTTGAATTTCTATACGGAGTACAAGTTTTGTTGGGATTTATATCAGGACTATAAAAAAAACTCACCCTGCTCATTAGAGCTAAATACCAGACACTCATGAATAGACCTTTTCATACCCTAAACTCTGATGTATTTTTTGAATAACTCAATACCAGTTACTCCGCCCTAACACTCACCCTAGTTAATGTTCTCACAACTCCGTCAAACGTGCAAAGATTGCTAACGCGTACTGTTCTCACCACTGTGACCCTGCTTTGCGCACCGCTTGCCATCTTGACAGCACCCCAATCGATCACAAGCTTCATAAGTATCAAGTTGGTCCCTAACTTAGCACATGGGAACGAATAACCTCAATTTGATATTCAATATTTACGTCTATGGATTCCAACTCTATTTTAATCTTGTAAAATTCATCAATTGAGATGTCCATTGAATTTTGTTTCCTCCGCTATTTGGAGACTAAACAATCGATTCTTCACCTACTTGTCAATGATTTAGACTTGCATTAGCTCTCCAACTTGTCCCAAATATCCACCATATCCGCCAAACCAAGAACCTCTTGAAGATTATTATTTGCAAGGCATAGGCAAATTGTACTCAATGCCATGTCCATCAAAGTTCAAATACACCCACTCTTCATCCGACACTTTTTCTAGTTTGACATTCTTCTCATGTTTTGCCCACTCAGCATCCACCATATTCTTGTCCTTTGAGTCTTCACCTTAGAGCATTGATTGTCCCTTCCCAAGTAAAGAAACTTTTTACTTGTTTTTGCCACAATAAACTCATCACGACCATCAAAAGATTCAACCGAAACATTATTCAAACTTTTTATCGATGTCATTCTCACACTCCAAATTTCTCCGGCATGTTACCACCTACAAATCCATCCATCGAAAATGCAACTTGTCTCTAATACCAATTATTAGGATTTTAAGTGTGTAAGACTCCAAAAAAATCAAGAGTGTAGACAAGAAAAGTATTTTTGAGTGAAAAATTATATTTTCACTATTTCGGATAATATACAAAAAACTTTCTCCTCGTGTATAAGAGCTAAATGCTAGACACTTAAAACACACCTATCAACACCCTAAACTCAGATATATGAAAATTGCATGTGAAGGAGTTTTTTTTTATTTTTTCCATTTAATTAATTAATCAACAATAACAATTTTTAAATATATAAGTTTTATTTTATTAATTTTATACCAATTTTTTATATATGTAAATTAAAAATTATTTGAATCAAACATCGTAAACCAGAATAAGAACTTTATTTTGGGACAAAGAAAATAAATAATTCTAATTTTGTGAACTAGGAAAAACCTGTTTGATCTTTCTAGGCCATTTTCATCCAGTCTTGAAACATCATAAAGAAGAGGCCCCCAAGAAAACTGCAACATATAAAAAAGAACAAAATTTATATTACTTTCCAAAAACCATATTTAAAAAAATTGAATATGCAGTGAATTTATAATTTTAGCCAATACAAGCTATGAGGTACTCACCACGTAATCTTCAGGGGACATCCAACTATCACCTAATGCAATTCCTGCATGAACAAAAATGAACTACCAAATAAAATAATTACTTATAAAAAATTAAAATATATGAACGGATATTACATTATAATTAACTTAATAATATCAAAAAATTTAAATATTTAAACAATAGTTTAAAAAATTGTAAAATACTTACACTCAGTAGTATTCAGTTAAGACAAATTAAATAAGTTGCACACCTTAAAGGGTCATGGTAAACATCACATTCATCTTTAGATATAGCTCAAAATACATTCATGGTTCAGATTTTAATTATATTATGGGATGATAACAAACTCACTATTAACTCTCTTGCAAACATCCATCTCCCGGCATTCAAGCTTTTGGAGGTTGTGCGATTTTGGGTGACAAAACAGAGGTTAAGCGAAAAAGTCAACAAAGAGTTATGACATTACAAAAATCTAACTAAATCTTAACCATGGATGTGTTTTAAGTTAGATATGGAGGCAGGCATATGATATTATGATAGTTCTAGGTAGAGTACATATACCATACGTCCGGATGTATAATGTTTCACGTACATCCACTTAAATACTCATTTTCAAGTAACTGAATACTCATTTTCGAGTAACTGAATACTCATTTACGAGTATAGCTAAATTTTAGAAAAAATGAGTATTCAGTTACTTGAAAAAGAGTATCCAGTTGCTCGTAAATGAGTACTCACCACGGATGTATGAGAAATATTGCACAACCAGTTGTATGGTATATATTCAAAAAAACCACGCAGAATTAAATTATACTACGTAATATATCCAAGAGCTGTTTAGCGGCTTCATTAGACACAATAGGCACCTTTACTACTCCCTCTATCCCTAAAAGATTACTACAGTTTGACTTTTTTTGGTCAAATAGTGGCACCCTTTGACCGCGAACTGTGGAAAAAATATATTTAATTTTAATGTAAATTTAGTAAGATTTGGTTTATTTTAAAATATAGTTCTAAAATATCAAATATTTACAATATTTAATTATTTTAAAATACCCATTTTGATGTATTTTTGGTCAAACAATTACACGCTTTGACCATAAATTAAATATAATCTAAATAAAGAAATGTTATAAAATTTTGATATATCAAAACTAGATCCTAAGATGAATCCAATTATATTAAATTTATATTATAATTCAATATACTTTTCTCACAATTTGTAGTCAAAGTGTGTAATTTTTTGACTAGATACTATTCAAAAAGGGTAATGTTTTATGGGACGGAGGGAGTATTTAATTCATGGTCAAAGTATACCACAGTTTGACCAAAAACGTCAAACTATGACAATCTTTTAGGGACGGAGGAAGTATTATTTTAGCATAACCTTACTCCATTTACACTAGTTTCGAAGTGTTTACACTTTTGCTTAATTTACATAGCGAATGCTTATAACATATTTGTTTTAATAGAATATAAAAAATATTATAAAAATAAATGCTTGACTGAAGTGACAATTTATTTAAAAATATTGTATCGAGGGCAAGTTCAAAAAGTTTTGGGACTTTGTGCTAGTATAAAAAGAGGCTTGCTCCTATAAAAAATAAGAAGTTAATAAATAAATGTTGCATACAAATAAATTTATAATTTATGATGTGTTCTTATTCTCTTCTTTAAAGCATTTTAAAAAACAAAAACAATGAAAAATCTTTCAAAAAAATAACATTAGCACTTTAATCAAATTGAACGATAACTAGCACTACAAAAACTGCCCAAATAACGAAAAAATTCCGTCGCCACCCCTTAAATTCCATGGGTAATTGGACAAGACGACAGAATGCACAGCGGTTCATTTTCCATCGTTATATTTTTGTTTGGTATTGATTTTGACGACGGATAATGCAATATGTCGCTATATGAAGACGGAAATAGCAACAGCATTTGGAGATGGTTATGGCAACGAAACTGTTTTGTCTCTATTTTTGGCGACGGAAATGGAGACCGAATTGAAAAACCTGACAATATGGGACGGAAATTGTATCCGTTGCCGAATTAACAGAATTTAAACAACAGGATGTTGTTTCAACATTTACATTGAAATCATCATGACATTAATTTTTTATAAAAAAAAGTATGCAGCCCATTAAAAGAGAACATAATCTTCAGAAAATTGCATTTAAACTTAAAATTATAATCATAAAAACTAAATTTAGAGGCCATATGTTTTTGGGGTACCAATACCATTGCACAGGTTGAACTCCCTTGAAGTCGAACATGAAGATATCATGTGATCCTTAAACTAAGAGTTACTTTTGACCTATTTATATGTCTTACATGTATAATATTCCTCCGTCCTAAAATAAATTTTAATTCCCGATTTGACTGGGACTCATTTTTAAGAGAGAGAGACGTCATTTTTAAGAGAGAGACGCTAACAATTGCCAAACAGAAATTTTTGCCGAAGGAGACAGCCCAAGCAGACGACCCATGGCTAGCCGAGAGAAGAAGAAAGAAGAAAGATAACAGGGTAGAGGAAGAAAGTGGAAGATGGTGTGAGTGAATAAAGATGAGAGGGTGGGAAAGGTTGTGAGAGATATTGATGTCTTTGAGTATATTAATAGTTATTATTTTAAGTAATGGAAAGAAGGTTTAAAAACAATCCAAAAAGAAAAAGTGAGAAGATAGTTTTTGGACGGAGAGAATTTGTAAAAGTTTATTCACGATGCAGTTGTTTATTGACTTATTCCATATAAACTATTTTAAATTTATAGCTCTTTATTGAAGTATTTCTTTGTAAATTGACTTAAATAAGATCTGTATAATTTAGGGATATTCATAAAATATAAAATTGTGTAGATAGTTTTGTAAATAATTTGATAAAAACGGAAAAACTCATCTAAAAATAAGTGTGTGAGGGATACGATTCTTGATATGAAACGTATCGAGATAGGGAAGAACTTCGAGCGTATTCAAGCTCCAAAAAAAGAGGAAGGGAAAGATGCAAAACTTCAAACGTTTTTGGACTCTCAAGAGAAAAGAGAAAGAGAAGCAGAGAAGTTTTGATTTCTATTTCTTTGCATCTCAACTAATGGGTTACATCTCAATATGTAAGGCATAAAAGAAAACCCTAATTATAATAGTAGTATAACTACTAACCTTAATCATAATAAAATACTAATGAACAAATAACTACTAATTAATAAGCACAAATAACTTATAGGTTATTGAGCTTATAAGCTTGTCTGGAATAGATACTTTTGTTGGTAGCTACAATTGGCTATAAGTTAGTGAGCTTATAAGCACAAATAAGTTATTGGCAACATACAATTGTTGGTAGCTACAATTGGCTAGTGGGTGATTACCCCAAAATTAAGTGGTGTAACTAGTCTGGGATAGATGATTTATTCCTAAATATGGAGTATCATATTATTTACTGGCTAACCTGTAAGGATAGACTACGAACGAGACAAAGGTTGAGATATAAATGTACCTTGTGTGGTCAAGCTGCTTAGGACATTGATCACCTCTTTTGTAATTATGTGATGGCTAAGTAGATCCTTTTTGTCTATGAAATATCCAGATATATAGGTTCTGACTTTGAGGCAAACTATTTTAGTGAGATAGGTGAGAGATTATTGCAGCTAAAGCCAAAGAAAAGGAGAATTGAGGTTGTGGCAGTATTTGTTGTGTGCTGCTATGTTATCTGAAAAAAAGGAACGGCAAGGCTCATAGAGTCATTGATCTTGACCTCAAAGCTGCTATTAGTTGGATCAAATTTCAGAGTTCCATGTTTATTACGAAGAGGTTGTCTAATCATGTTCATAGCTTTTCCTTTGTTTTTGCCCTGGTTGTTTTGGTTTTGTATGTTCTTTGAATCGGTTGTGCTATTTTATCTTAATATATTCACTTTCGGTTCATAAATACTTATAAACAAGATAACTTCTAAGTAATTTTGACTAACTTATATGCATAGAAGAATATGACTTAGTTTAATTAAAATATAAAATAATAGGAAGAAAGACCAAAGTAGGACTAAAACATTGAAAATATACCAAAAATAGGACTTCCATATTTTTATTACCGAAATAGGACTTAAAATACATTTAAATTACCCATCATGGTAATTTACATTACCAAAAAGTATAGTAATGTGCACATGTACAGTGCCACATTACAACCACATTACCACAGTGCGAAGTCCTATTTCGGAAAAAAAAACATGAAAGTCCTACTTTGGTACCTTTCTCTATGATTTAGTCCTATTTAGGGTGATTTCTAAAAATAATAATGATGATGCCTCTTAGACCGCACTCACACCAAAAAATTCTCGAAGAGGTGATGTTTACTTCATACTTATTACATTTTGTTGACTTTGTGGAGGCTTTTTGTTTACATGTAATCTATAACCCTAGGTATTTCTATACATGTAATTTAAACGCCATAAGAGAAATAAAATTCCTCCTAGTTGCAACTATGGATAAGGGAAACCGAACCACATAAAAATCTGGTGTCTTTTGTGTTTCACTTCTCTTTTCTTGATGTTTTTTTTGAAATTTTCTTGCAGATTATTTAGCACAACCAATTCATAATGTGTGTTATGTGTGTTTAACACGTGAGCATAAATTACGAGAAATTGTCACCTAGGGTTTGAAGAAAAAGTGAAACCGGATTGAAGTAGCAACTGAAGCCTGAATGGTTCCATTTCTCTGCAGCCCATTTTTCTGGAAATCTGAAGATGCCGCTGGTTCCATGGAACAGCCCAAGAGCAGATCCGAAGAGAAAGACGCTGCTTTGATCGAGACTGAAGCCGTAGAGGGAGAACCAGGCCAGCCTTCGTTCGCGAGCAGGGGTTTTCTAGATCCGATCGCGCACAGGACCGCTTGTCGAGCCGCCGTCGCCGTCCAGATCGAACGGCCAAGACAGACCAGGCGCCGCCACCAGAGAGGGTGCAGCCGATGTCCAGTAGGTGCGCCGTCGTCTCCTAGTCCAGCCGCCGTAGTAGACTAGTAGTCTCTTAGTTGCGCGGAACCAGTGGCATATACAGAGTATTGCCGAAGAAGAAAAGGCGCGGGCAGTCAAATGGTTAGAGCGGGAGAACTGAGAAGCCATGTTTGGTTAGATGCTTGTTTTAACTAAATATGTAAGTATCTAACTCCATCACTTATATCAGAAAAATTATTCAGAATAATTTTAACTTTATCCATTTTTTAAAAAATAATTCCACCGTAATTTTTTGAATATGTAATTTTTATTTCTTATTCATATATCAACTTATAAATAAAATAATTTCAAAATTATGGACGGAGGGAGTATTATTTATAAATAATAATAATAAAAAGTTTGTATTATTTTTAAAATTTTACATTATGAATACAAATACAATATAGTACTCCCTCTGTGCCACAAAACATTACCCCATTGTGATGTATTTTTGGTTAAACAATTACACGTTTTGACCATAAATTAAATATAATCTAAATAAAGAAATGTTACAAAAATTTGATAGACCAAACTAGATCCTAATATGAATCCAATTATATTAAATTTATATTATAATTTAATATATTTTTCTCACAATTTGTAGTCAAAACATGTAATTATTTGACCAAATATTATTCAAAATGGTTAATGTTTTGTGGGACAGTGGGAGTATTATTCTAACATGATTTACCATAATTCATATTTTATTTATTTTTATTTATAGAATTTGTAAAATGGACCTATGGATATGTATATATAGATGGTCCAAAAGCTAATTTTGCTTATTAACTAAAAAATAGTACAACCAATACAACAACAATAATAATTCAATTGGATTTCACGAGAGTATGATCTTGAAAGGATATGTACGAAGACTTTGCTCATACTCAAGGGTAGTGAGGCTGTTTTCAAGAAATAGCACACCCAATGGAAATCAAATTTTAATATAGGAACATGTAAAACTTCTATATTATACGGAGTAACATTTTGGCCTCTTCTATTTGTTTATTTGGATTAGTTTGTGCTTTATTTTAATTGGGTTGGATATATTATTGGTTACTTTGGATTGATTTCAATAATGTGTTGTGGTTGTCCTAATTTTTTGATGAAATTACTTAGACCTAAAATTAGTTGTACCGAGTACCTTATCGAGTCGTTTGAGATGGTAGAAGATATGAAGTTTTGAATTAAGAAGACTGATGGTAAAGACTTAAGTTAGTGGAAAAGGCAAACTGAGGATTTGGACGTGATATCCCGGTGACAAGCTAGAAAAACATGTGACTAGCTAGAAAAGATGTCTAATGCAAAATAGACAAATTTTTAGTGGGAAGCTATGACCGTTATCATATTCGTGTTGACCAAAAATGTTGTGGTTAACATTCTGAAGGAGAAGATATCAAAATGTGTCATGGAAGCTCTATCTAACATGTACGAGAAATCATCTGCACAAAACAAATTAAAGTTATTCTGATTATAGAACTAGTGAACTCCAAAATGAAGGTAATTTACTTATCAAGCAGCTCAACACATTGAATTTGATCTTAACTAGACTTTCATCGGTGGGTATCAGGTTCGATGATGAAGTCCAAGCCTTATTATTATTGTCCTCTTTTGTCATTGAATTGCTTGGCAATTAGTCCAAAACAGTTACAACAGCTAATAGTTCAACATGACCGAATGAATTCACCTTTGATCGAGAAGATTCGTGATCTCGTTCTTGGCGAGGACATTAAAAGAAAGAGTTCTGAAGAATCATCGGGTGAATTTCTAAATATCGACAAAGGAAGAAAAAATAGCAGAGGTAATGAGTATGAAAAAAAGAGGAGTCAGGATAATACTCAGGATTGTTAAAGTGTAATGTGTTGGAAGTGTTAGGAGCTAGAGCAGGGTGTGGATTCTTGGGTCATTGATTCAAGTGCTTTTCATCCTACCCACAACATTGAAATATGTAGAATCTTGTTATTGTCGACTTTTGAAATGTAAGACGACTAGAGGATGATAAAGCTCTTGATGTTCAGACATGGGTGACATATAGTACTAAAGATGTCAGTCTAGACTTTGAAGGATGCCAGAATTGTTCGAAGTTTGAAGAAAATTTCGATTTTTGTCGGAAAGTTGGATAAACAGGAATGTAACACCCCGGTCCTCACCCTGGGCGAAAATGTCTGCTCATAAGATTGTAAATTGGTCCCACAAACTAACACAAGTAGTTTCCACACACATTATCCTCACTTGTTTGCACATAGGAAACTTTTCAAGCATCACCTATCATATAATTATCCTAAATCTAGCACGCTTAACTTTAAAATTTTTAAGTGATGAGTTTTCAAAAAGAAGATGCATCTTGATAATAGTAGTAGTTTATCCATTCTTTTGAGCTTTTTTAATCCAATGTTAACACGGGGTATTACGTTAATCCTCCACTTAGGAATGCAATGTCATTAGCTTGTTGCACCCTTCTCAAGCTCCTAGATCTGCTCAGCTAGGTGAATTAAGCTCGTTGGTTCTGATACCATTCGTATCATAGTCCCCACCTTGGCTAAAAGCATTTGCTCATGGGATTGTAGACTGATATAACAAACTAACACAATTAGTCTTTACAGCACACTTCGTCCTCACTCGTGTGCGCCTAGGGAACTTACAAGGGGTTCATAATCCTAGAATTGCTAAAAGTCCAGCACGCTAAACTTTGAAGATGTTAAGCGATGACCTTTCAAAAAGAAGATGCATCTTGTTGGTATAAGTATTAAACATGACTATTAATCTTTTTGAGCTCTTTTCTTAGTTCAATGTTATATTATATCACAAACGATGTGGAGTCTAGAAATGTACAATGAAGGTCGTTAATGGAAATTATTGCATGACCCGATAAAGAAGAGTGATTCACTGTATATAGTCAGATTAACATCTCACGGTGTGACCGTCCCAATTCGAAAGATAAACGAACTCTGGTTCACTAAATCTCATGGGCGAAATAGGGTTATCTTGTCAAGAGAAAACCACATAGCCACAAATCAAAATCAGGATGGACAAGCGAGAAAAGGTTCAAATAGACATGTGAGAGGTGACTGTGGCAGTGAGAGCACAGATAGTCCTTCAAGTCAAGTTAGCGTTACGCTGTTGATCTTTCCATTAATTTTTTCGTTAATTCGTGTATTTTTTCTACTTTCCACTATAAATAAATTGTTAGGAACTTTTTCCCATACAATAACTAAGTCATATTTCACGTAGGTCCATTTTTTAATAATAATAATAAGTTACTCTTACTTTTATTAATATTTTTTAATAATAATAAGTTACTCTTACTTTTATTGGTTTAATTTTTTTAATAGTCACTCCGTACCAACGAATGTGTCAAATTTTGTCTTTTTACAAAAAACAATGTATTTTCTGCAATATAATTTTAATTGAAATTATAAGTCCAAGATTAACCCTAGTTGATTACAAAAGTTAAAACTTGACAATTATTTTATCAAAACTTGACAAACCTGACAACTGTGATCAAGAAAATTGGACTAATACAAATAAGAATACGTTATAATTAAGTATTAAAAAATAGACCTGCATGAAATGTGATTTAATTATATGAAAAAAGGTTACTCGCATACATATTTATATATAATGGAAATGAAAAAAAATGTGAATTAACGACAAAGTTAACGGAAGGACCAACTCTGCAACATTAAGTATCGCTTGAAGGATTATTCGTAGAATTTTTAGAGTTGAAAGACTAACCGTGCATACTGCATACACTTAAATGACTAGGAGTGTAATATAGGCATTAGAGAAACCGAACCACGCAAAAAAAGGATTGTGCGTGTCGTCTCTGTTTTGTTTTTCCTTTTTCTTGCATATTATTTGTGGTTTGTGTGTTTAATTGCCAAAATGTTTAATTATACTCTATAATCTATATTTGATCAACTTGAGATAACTGTAACCATAAAATTTAAAAATTGGCGGGGAAGGTAAAAATTACCTCCCAGTTGAAGCTTCAACGTCCCTTTCTCAATAGCTTGCAGAGCTGATAATCCAAGGGTAACGGCAAATTTTCCTCCATAGGACTCTGCCACTATGTAGAGGGGGCTTTTTTGTAAATTGGCATTCGTGTTGAAAACATGTTTCAAGAGGGTAGTCAAATCTGCTGCATTCTCCCAATCAGTCTTCACAAACAGACTTTTGTCTTCAACATAACTGTACCCAGTTCCAACTGGATTATCCTATAATTATGATTAACAAATAATGTTTAATTTATTAATTATTATAAATAAAGTCAAGAGTAATAGAGTATAGTAACTGCCTTCAAAGAAGAATTTGATAAATGCTGGCAATCGGAGGAAAATATTAATTATTATGTGCCTAATTCACATGTATCCTCATTGATATAGGCTTTGTTTGGTAACAGCGTTTTCGATTAGTGTTAGCGTTTTGGATAAAATTTTAACGGTACAGATTAATTCTGAAAACGCTAACGCTAAAGGCTACCGTCAGATAGCTTTTTCAAAACGCTAACGCTAATCTCTGACGCTGATGCCAAACGGGGCCATAAAAAATTGAAAGAACTCTTTAAGAACGAATTCTTAACATGGTAGGAGTATATATAGCCAATGACGGACATCAAAATCTTAAAAAGGTAGTCAATTTTCAATAATTGAACAAATTAAACCATTAAGGGGTAGAAGTGATATTTACAAATTAATATAAAGAAAGATATTTTGAATTGGTTAGACTGGCCGATCTGGTCAGGTTTGGATTAATAGTGAATAAATATGATATGATAGGTATCTAGGTTAAGAATACTTTATTTTTTATGTGATGGATTCTTTATTTTTTGTAGAATATAGTTTGTCAGTTCTTCCGGGGTTGAACAGGTTGAAGCAAGTATGAGTTTCTACAATGAACTGGACCGTACCGGTGCATAGATCGTGGTCGAATCGGTTGGATTGATCGATCTGGTCCAGTCTAGATTAATAGTAAATAGATATGATATGATAGGTAAGTTAACAATGATTTATTATATTCTCGATGTGATGGATGCATCATTTTTGCAGAATATAAATTTGTTCGCTGGTTCTTTCGGGTTTGAACGGGTTGAAGCAAATCTGGGTTTTAACAATGAACCGGACCGTACTGGTACATGTGTCGCGATCAAATCGGTTGGATCGACTGATTTGGCCCGGTCTAGATTAATAGTGAATAGATATGATGTGATAGGTAAATTAAGAATTAATAGGGTAAAGATGACTTTTTAATAGAAATTAGAAAGATCACACACACACACACATAGGTTGGTTCAGGTGAGAATATACTTCCTCTGAGAATATGAGAATGGTGCACTTTTAGATCGTCGTGATGAATTTTACATTTACATTTGTAGTAGTGTATTTTTAAAAAATCAATTTATTTACGAAATTGACACCGTGACTTTTTCATGATTTTCAATTTTTTTATTTTGAATCGCCCTTAGATCTGAAATCTAATGTGTCATATACATTTTCATTTCAACCACTGTGCATCGTTCTCATTTGAACACACACACACATATCGCCTAACTTGTCATGATGCAAAAGTATATTTAGTAAGAAAAAACCATCAATTAGTAGTTTGATGTGAATGAGTAAATCTCATCTCAAGCAATATAATAGGTAGCAATAAAATGAAGCAAAGTGGGTTGTAGTTAAGCAGAAGATTAAAAAAAAACTTACCACAAAGAAGAGATCAGCTTTTCTCAGCCAAGATGAATTTCTAGGCTTTAAACTGTCATCAATAGGGCCAACTTCTTGAAAATTTCCCACGGTAACTCCAGATGCTCCCTATATATTTTCATCCCCGGCCGTTATAATTTTATTATTATTATTACATATAAAGAAACGACAATATAAAAAGCTTAATTAATATCCTTTCTCCATTTACTTCTCAAAAAGTAATAATAATTGTGGATTTTACTCTTTTTACACTTGGTATATACCCCTCCGTTCACAAAACCCTTCCGGTTTTGACTTTGGAGAAAAATAAGGAAAGTGTAATTTTGGTTGACTTTCTAATTTTTCCCCTGATGTGATGGGAAAAAGTAGGATGTGATAGTTTGGTTATTAGTAAAAAAGTATGATGTGATATAGGTAGGGTATGAAAAAGTAGGGGTAAAAGTGGTTTTTTAATAGAAAGTGGAAGTGTTTTGTGGAAAGCAAAAAAACGAAAGAGGAAGAGTTTTGTGGAACGGAGAGAGTAATATATATGTAAATTAAAGCAGTATATATGCATGCATGCAGTTAACTTGCAGGTCCACCTTGCAACCAGAGAATGATAGGCCATGGCTTGGTTGAATCTTCAATCCTGTGTGGGCTTTTATAGTACCACCAGAACATGTGTGCTTCTGTTTTGCATAATAAGACAATACATTCCATAAAACTATAAAGACTCAAGTACGTTCATACTCCCTCCGTTCCACAAAACCCTTCCTCTATCGTTTTTTTTTTGCTTTCCACAAAATACTTTCACTTTCTATTTAAAAAACCACTTTTACTCTTACTTTTTCATACCCTACCTATCACATCATATTTTTTCACTAATAACCAAACTATCTCATCTTACTTTATCCCATGTACAAAACAATAATAAAAATGCATATGATACGCAACATTTCAATGGGCGTGGTGTTACGTGAGCTTACTTTGTCGGACTTCAACGTACCCCCACCGTTCCGATCCATCTCGTGTTCCCGCCGTTACGGCACTTTGAGTTGTCCCTCCATTGATGGAGGGTGGAAACAAGAACATGAAAGAACAAACTGCCAGAAACACACTTGTTTTAAGCTTTTCCTCCATTTCCAAAACCTTAAAAAAAATATGAAGACTAGAGTAGATTTAAATACTTCAAGAATGTGGGAGCATATATTTATGTAGGTAATATTCAAATGATGGTAGAGGGTCACTAAATCCACAAATGTCTAGTGAATTTAGTGTGGACGATTTTTGGAATAATTACTAGGCTCATATGAAGGATATATAAGTGGATCAAGAGAGTCAAATTTACTTAATTAGATTGATACTTTCACCAAATATGTACAGTTTTCCTAATAAAAATGGCATAATTAAAGGACAATTAGGACCGTATGATAGACTTTTAGCCCATCTGTATGAATATATACTATTTTTGCGGGCAAATTAATGATTAGACATCCATATACATATATAACGCCTTTATTTAAGCAAACACATTAAATGTTATATTAAATCATACTCCATCCGTCCCATAAAACATTTCCTGTTTCAAAAAAGGCGCGCTCTTAAAATGAGTAATTTTGGTATTATTTTCCAATTTTGCCCTTACTTTATAAAAGAGTAGGATGAGATGTGTAGAATAGATTAGTCATAATTAAAAAATAACACTAAAATTACTCATTTTAAAGGCGTGCCATTTTTGAAACAGGAAATGTTTTATGGGACGGAGGAAGTATATTGTTACAAAGAAAGGTTGCTTGTATTATCAGGTTAGATATCTCTCTCAATTGTGGATCATTCTTTATCACCGGCTACCATTGTCATCGCTAATTACAATCGTTTATCACTAATTAAATCATGATTTTAAATCTCTCCAAACAAATTCGTTTCAGATTTCAAGACGCATATAATTTCTCCAAAATTTCATCTCATATCTTATCATATTAGTATCACACATGTGCATTGCACGTGTCATAGTTAGGTTATTAAATTAAGATCATTTTTAAAAGATATAAATTGATATATAATGAAAAGAGAAATGTTAAAGTCTCAAACACGCACTTTGATCACAAAATACACAACTTTGATATTTATGTACCTCACCAAGTGAATTAAATAATGTAAAATAGTTAAAAAGTAAACATTTAAATACATAAATAACAAGGTTGTGTATTTTGTGATCAAAGTGTTTGTGACTCTAGCACTTCTCTAATGAAATATAGAGATTTCATTATTTTGAAGTACAAAAGTTAGTTAAATGATTTGCAAATTTCAAAAGACTTCGTATAATTCTTCTCTTTGTTGTATATCAAAATCGTAAAGCCATTGCGATTTATTAGTTTTGAAACTGCAACAAACAGTTTCCCATGACTAAATACTGGTTTCCGTAACAATAATTCAACATGTTTCAGATACTGTCTCTGACAATATGATACGGATAGTTTATTAGAATATTTCAATTAGCTATATAATTATTTAGTAGTTATTTATTATTATTTATTAATATTCTATAGATTAGGGTTTTTAGTATGGGGCCCAAGCTCATTAGGTTAATTAGGGTTTCTCGTATCTCTATATATTGTATTCTCGCATTATTATTTTGGAATCAATCAATAATCAAGAATTCTCTTAATCTCTCGTCTATCTTTTCTTGGAGCCTGAAAACGCTCGAAGTTTTCCTTCTCTCTTTGCCTCCCCTTTCTTGGAACCCGAAGACGCTCGAAGTTCTTCTCTATCCCGATACGAATTGTACAAGATTCGTATCAATTGGTGCTTTCATTGTTGAACTCACCAAAAATAAAACCAAAAAAAAATTGTCATCACCGTTGAAGAGGAATCCGAGATCTAGCGACAAAGCCACAAATTTGTCCCATCGCCGCAGTAGGGGCACAAGATTTGCAGCCGCCGTTGCAAAATTTTGTTTTGAACAAGCACAATAGCCTAGCTATTTACGGAAAAAAAAGTTGCATTAGAGATATCATCCAATCGGTTCAGTTGCCGCACAAAGGAAGCCGATTCCATAAAGTTGGCAGATTTGAGGCCGGCGTTGTGGTTCAATTTTTAGTGCCAATTGTTGTGGCCACCGAGAATTTGCTCAAGGATTTGATCTTTACATCCAAATTGGTGCAGCCGCCAATTCCTTTGTCAACAGGGCCGCCACTCAATTAGAGAGAGCAATTGGGGAGATCCACTATAATTGTTTGTGTCAGCCGTCGGATCAATTTGCACCACACTCCAAAAAAAATGCAACCCGATTTTTCTTTCCGTATGGAGGCTCAATTCAAGCGGTTAGAGATTTTGATCGTGTGTACCCATGCATTGGACAAACTTTTTGCTCTATTAGAGAACGTTCTTTATGGAAAAATTGAGCACGATGACGGAGTGTGCACACTTTACGATCAAATAGATGAACTTATAAAGAATCTTTAATCCTTCCGTTCTATTGGAGGTAAGCCAAATTATTATTCTGACTTACACGCACTTGACATTGAAATCTCTTGTGTGATACAAGATTTGGTCCGTGGGCCCCCAATTTTGCCGAGTTTGATTCCTTGGGAGTTACAACACTTTAGAACAGGCATGTTGGGCGCTATAAAAGTTCTCATTGATAGTCCGCCTTCTATGCCAAATCTGTTCTCTAAAATAATTGACCGAAATGCTGAAGCACATGATCACGCATCCAAGAAGGAACCAAGCGGTGACTCACAAGGTGGAGATGATGTGGACATCCGGCATGAAGCCATAAACAAAGATAATGGGAGGTCCAGCATTGTGGAAAAAAAAGAAAGTCCTCTTGCACAATATGTTGCTAATGTCAACAAGCCAGATAATACTTTTCAGGAATTTTCTACCTCAGCTGGTGTGGTCATTGCAGAGTATGATATTCTAAAAAGTGTTGACAAAGTGACAGATGAAGATGGTACACAAGCACACTTGCCTATGTTGATTGACACCATCACGTTGTTTGAGCTTGTTGATGTGGTCAAGACGGAGCACCTGATTTCGCCAAGAGCAACTACATATGTTCTGTGCCCCGTCTCATCTTTTCATCACTTTGCTCCAAGATCCAAGATGATGAAAGATTCAAAGGGTAGACTACTCCTTTGGTTCAGCATTCTTTCTATGGTCCTAAAGCACGAGTGGGAGCCTCCACCCTGAGGACAAGGTGGATTTTAAGGGGGTGGGAATGATACGGATAGTTTATTAGAATATTTCAATTAGCTATATAATTATTTAGTAGTTATTTATTATTATTATTTATAAAGGGATTGACTCCACTGAGATGACACTTTATGGTTAGATGGCATGCTTCGGTCAGATGACGCAAAGCTCACCACTAGCCACTGCAAAGCTCACCAAAGATAACTACAAAGCTCACCAAACTGTAAGACAAAGCTCACCATATTTTTTTCAACACTTTAAATTTTTTTTGAAAAATAAAATCAAAGGAAGGGTGCTGACTAGACTTTAACCGTTGACCGTCAGCATTAACCACCACCTGCCGCCGGCCGCCGCCGCCGGACTCCGGCCTCCACCGCCGGACTCCGGCCGCCACCGCTGGACTCCGGCGACCGCCGTCGCAGGCCACCACCATCGCCGGCCGCCACTTCCGGACACTGCCGGATGCCACCTCCGGCCACCGCCGGCCGCCGTCGCCGGACTCCGGCCTCCGCCGCTACTCCGCTGCCTGCCACTAACGTTGACCGGTGGTTGATCGATGTTGCTATTTTATTTTTAATTAATTTTTTAATTTTCAAAATTAAAAAAAAGGTAAGTTTTGGTGTTCAAAGTGGTGAACTTTGCTTTATTTCCAGGTGAGCTTTGCATTGTCCATTGGTGAGCTTTGTAGTGTAGAGTGGTGAGCTTTTCGTCATCTCACCATAAAGTGTCATCTCACCATAAAGTGTCATCTCACTGGAGTCAATCCCATTTATTAATATTCTATAGATTAGGTTAATTAGGGTTTCTCGTAACTCTATATATTGTACTCTCGTATTATTATTATGGAATCAATCAATAATCAAGAATTCTCTTAATCTCTCGTCTCTCTTTTCTTGGAGCCCGAAAATGCCTGAAGTTTTCCTTCTCTCTTTGCCTCCCCTTTCTTGGAGCCCGAAGACGCTCGAAGATCTTCCCTATCCCAATACAAATTGTACAAGATTCGTATCACAATAATTCAATAATTTGACTTATCTGGTAATAATTCAACATATTGATGTATTTATTTTGGAATTTTTTGTTTTTTAGTGTTATTTTTGTATTTAAATGGTACCGTTTACTTACCCTACGGTATTTATTTTCTATTTTACTTTAAAACACTTGCTATTTTTACACATGTCCATGCTTGTAAATTATAGTATTAATAGTATTAATTTTAGAACACTTACCATTGTTACATGTTTTCATGCTTATAGTATAATTTATATTTTTTTTATTTTTGTATTTAAATGGTATCATTTACTTATTGTACCGTATTTATTTTTTAATTTATTTGATCACACCTAATTATTTTTACATGTTTTCATGCTTGTAAATTATAGCATTAATTAATAGTATTAATTTGTAGTTTTTCTATTTTATTTTTGTATTTAAATGATACCATTTACTTACCGTATCGTATCTATTTTCTAATATATTTTATAACACTTACAATTTTGAGATTTATTTTATTAAAAATCACCCTAAATAAGGCTAAAACATAGAAAAAAATATTAAAATAGAACTTTTTTGTTCTTATTCCTAAAATAAGAGTTCGCACTGTGGTAATGGGGAACTAATGTGACACAGTACACGTGCACATTACTATACTTTTTGGTAATTCACATGACCATGTTTGGTAATAAAAATGCATTTTAACTCCTATTTCGGGAATAAATACATGGAAGTAATTTTGGTATATTTTCAATGTTTTACTCCTACTTTAGTTTTTTTCCCTTGTTTTATTTTCTAATTTATTTAGAACACTTACCTAATTTATTTTAGAAAACTTACTATTTATTTTATTTTTAGGTTTAAATGGTACCATTTGTTTACTGTACCATGTTTATTTTCTAATTAGAACACTTACCATTTTAAGACGTTTTCATGTTTGTAAATTATAGTATTAATATTAATTTTTTATTTTTTATTTTATTTTTGTATTTAAATGATACTAATTACTTACCGAATCACATTTATTTTCTAATTTATTCTAGAACACTTACCATTTTTAGATTTATTTTATTTTCTTTTTTATTTTAGAACACTTACCTAATT